CTTGAGTTTTAATTGAAAGGGTTCTGATTTTTTTTTTTTTTTAATATTTTTATTGTGATTTGGGTGAAAGTTTGCAGAGCAAATTCATTTTCCATACAGTAGTTCATACACATTTTGTCTCATGACATTGACTGCAGTTCCCTACAATGTAGCAGCTCTCTTCACACTTCCTCCCCATGTTCTAATATTTTCAGAAAGCTTACTGTTTCATTTTCTTTACTTTCATTTTAGAGCATGAGAGTGGCCCTATTTTCTATCGTTATCTCTATAATTCTGGACATTGGAACATGGTCATGAGAGAAGCTGTAACCCCCAGGTGCCCTACTCTCTCTTCGTCGTGGGGTCTACAGTGGACTTGAAAAAAGTGGGGCAGGGGAGAGGGGCCCAGGTGGTATGACTCGAGGTCTGAGCGAGTCCTGGGAGCACACTGAGTGCTCCCCTTCATGGCCATGCGGTGGGTCAGAGTTAGCTCCATCTCAGTTTTTCTCCTTTTTCATTTTGCCACAAGACAGAATTGTATCACACATCTCCAAAACGAGTAAAATGGCATTTCAGCTTCTTGTCTTTATAGACTCTCTGAACTTTAGGAAAGATCATTCTGGTCCCTTTTCATTAATAATGAAAACCAGGGGGCAATAAAATGTTCTTAACGTGAGCATGGCAGGAGCGGAGGATCCGTGAGGGGTGAAGGGTGACTTGGCAGGGAACCACAGGTGTTTCTTGGTGCTGGGGAGGCAGAGCTCTGCTGCAGGAGGGGTCCTGGCCCTTGGGCCCTGGGACTGCCAGCATCTGCTCAGAGTACCCGAGACCAGAGGGCTGTGCTTCCGTACAATCTATTTTCAGGAAAGCAGAAGAATCCCCCAGACGTTGAGTTCTGGGCACGTTTTGAGCCCAGTTACGATTAGATATTTAGTGAGTATTTAAGCAGTCAGTGGTGAGTATAATATTCTGGACACGTGCCTCATTTGGAAGATAGCTCTCTGTCAGGATTTTGGCTGCACAGATGGGCCTTATGGATGTGAGCTAAAAGCACCCCTGAACAGTGACTCTTTTGAAAAGTGGCTAGGCTGCTCTCTCTTCACTTTTTCCTCCTAAAAATGAGCTCACACTAGATGCTGGATTTTGTATCAGGCACTTAGAACAGAGATGGCGGGAGAGAGAGGGAAGATAGAAGAGAGAGTCACATCAATGGGGATGTTCACTACAGGTTAAAACAGCAATGTCTCCTTCCACAGGTGATTTCTTAGACGGAAACGCTGAGTGTTACTGCCCAACCTTGGATGGGAGTGGGGAGCCCTTTCAGACACTGATACAAAATCAGAACCCATAAAAGAATGAATTGATAAATGTGTTTGAATATGAAAAGCACCTGTGTGCCAAAAAACACATAAGCAGAGTCAAAGAAAAATAAACCAGGAAAGATATTTGCAGTTCTGTCGTTGACAAAGGGTCAATATCCTTAATATATTAAAAAAAAAAAAAAAAAAAACTTCCCTAAATTGTTAAGGGAAAAGAGATCCAGTAAGAGCAAATGAGGAGCAACAGTTCACTGAAAAGAAAATACAGATGAAAAGATGCCCAGCCCTCACTCTTAAGATAAACACACATCAGAACAAGAGTGAAATCTGGTTTTCGTTTGAAAAACACGTTGTGTTGGGGTGGCTGTGGGGCAGCGGGCCCTCGAGTCCATCGCTGGTGGGAATGTGTATTGGTTCACTCCCATGCAGGGCAGTTTGGCAGTATTGATCAAAATTGCAAATGTATATACAGTAAAACCTGTGAAAGCCAGAACCTACGTGAGGTGGAAACCTATCAGAGAAGGAAAACTCAAGTATTTTCCAGTAACAGCAATAGAAAAGTGATCAAGACTGTACTCTTTTAAAGGTAGAAAACTTGCAAGATCCAGAAAAATAAAGCAGGCCCCTCAAATGCCAGCTCTCACAAGTTTCACTGTACCTTCAGCCTCAGCCTCCTGAGAATTCATTTTTGTAGGTATCCCGGTACATATGTGTGAGGTGACATATGTGCACAGGCATTCACCGCAGCATTGTGTGAAATCGTAAAAGACCGGAAGTAATCAAAACATCCATCAATAAGGAATTGGTTGGAAACAGAATATTATGCAGCTGTAGATAGAAAGAAAAATGAGTAATGGAGGAAAAAGAGGAGGGAAATAATACTGTACAGATTGCCCTATTCATGCGTAAAACTCACTGGAAGGATAAACAGGAGACTGTTAACAGTGGTCCCTGGTGGTGGAGAGAGACTTCATGAAATACCGAGTTAGGCTACTTGATGTTTGAACCATATGCAGGTATTATGTTCAGAACATGTAAAATAATAGAAGAGGTTGAGGGCTGAGGGCCAGGCCATGTGTTAATACAGTTTTGTGAATCAGACAGTGGGGTGGCCCAAGTTGGGAAACCTTGTGTGGAATCCATGGGTGAGGGTGTGGGTGGGAGACGAGAGGCAGAGGAACTTCGTGGCCAACGAGAGACTCTTCCAGACTTCCCCATGAGCTTCGCTTCCACCTCTTGAAAGGCCTGTTCAGCAGCACGGGGGGCGCAGCGCCTCCCTTGCCCACTTGTAGGTCTTTGTCATGAGGCCCCTCTCTGTCTGCCCACGGCCCCCCACAGAACTTTAGGAAAGGCCCTCTCCTGTCTCCTCCTCAGTGAAACACTGGGGCATAACCTGCATTTATGGTGCTTGTGGGCACTGGCCAGTAGGGAGGGCGGGCAGACAAGGTATTCCCAAGGAAATTAGCACTTAGTTGTGCCCCAGCTTCCTTCCCATAACCACGTGCTTCTGGACGTTGTGGTCTGACTCCTATTTTTCTGGATCTCGCAAATTTTCTACCTTTAGGAGAGTGCAGTCTTAACCACTTTTCTATTGCTGTTCTGGCATCTAGAAGTTATTGGACTTGTCTCTGTCCCCCAAGGGTTCTGGAAACATGGCCCATGCAGTCTGATGGCAGCTCCTTTGAGAAGAGGCAGGGCACTGTGCTGGTGGCCTGGACACAGCAGCTGCAAGTGAACATTCACAGTGGAGCTAATGCTTCCTATTTACTTGGAGATTTGCTGGGAGGGTCAGATCAGGCTGACGCAGGAAGGCCCTTTGTGAACTGTAAAGAGGAAAGATCACAAAGCAGAAAAGTCTCCTCCTCTCTGGTGCAGCTGGAGTTGTGTGTGCCATCCTACAGAGAACAGATCAGAAGCCTGCTCCCACCTGAAGACTGGCTACTTGTTTCTAATTCTCCTGCAACAATGACAGATTGTTCTTCTGAGATCTCTCTCTACTCCATTCCTTCTTCTCCAGCCCCGTCCCGGTCTCTCTTCCTTTCGTGAACCCTGGTAGCAGCCTCCTCCCAGCTTTCTTGCTCTGCACGCTCCCACCTCCAACTTGCCTTCAGCGCCGCTCTGAGGCGACTCTCCTAAAACAGATCTCACAATGCCACTCCTTCCTTGGTCTTCATTGCCTCCACTGAAGCAGGGAGCAGGATTCGGATTCCTTGTCCACTGCCTGTGAGGCTCCCCACCTGCACCTGCTTGTTCTACTTGTTTCTTCCCCTTCATCTTCCCCCAGGCTTACTCCCTGCTCTCTGTTCTGAGCATTGGGTCCTGGCAGTCCTCTTGGCCGGAAGTAGCATGCTCCCTCTGAAAGGCCCAGTGGCTGAGGTCCACACTGACTACCACCTTTTCTGGAGCACAGGTTAACACCTGGCACTGCCCTGGCTCTGCCCTGTCTCTGTGCGAGTGCTCTGTCCCTGCGCCTTGGATCCCACCGCCTTGGAGGCTTGCCCTGTGTGCTCCCCTCCCACCCCCACTGCTACAGATGCCACCTGTGTGATGCTCACTGCCACTCTCTGAAGTTACCTTGTTTAGTCCTTTGTCAGCTGGACGTGAGAGCAGAGCAGAGAGATATGAGGCCTAGTTCATCCCTGTGCCCTCCCACCCCTACCCCTGTGCTGAGAATGCTGTCAGGCTCATGGTGGGTACTTGATGTGTTTCTGAATAAACAAAAAAGACTCTGATTTCCTTCAGACCGGAGTTAGGTTTTGCTTTCCCCTCCCCTATTCCTGAAGTAGCCCTTGGTTCAGGCCTGTGTGTGGTTGGTCTGTGTAGGTATGTACGTGGTGTGGTAGTTATGTTTGTATGTCAGCTTGGCTGGGCTTGGTTGAGTGGCTGGGCAGCTGGTGGTAGTTATTCCCCATGATGAGACTGCCTTTGGGATGTGGTTTACTTCCTGTATATAAGGAGAAGCCTTGGAAATGGTCTCTAGCCTTTGGCACTCTTGGACCCTGCATGTAGCCGTATCGTTGTTCAGCAGCCTGCCATGCTCTGCCGACCTGGGGACTTAAAATGGACTTGCACTAATGGCCTGCCATGTGGTTTGGTAACATTGGGACTGTGCCTTTTTACTTGTCAGTCTTGGGCTTGGTAGTCTCAGCAGCCAGCGTCTGAGTGAAGAACAGCCTCTAGCTCCAGTGGGCCAGGAGCTGGAGGCAGAGCTGAAGCCCAAGGCTGAGGGGCTTTTACACAGCCCTTAGAGTCTGGCACTTTGAACTCGGACTTAAAGCCTCCAAATTACAATTTGGAGAATAAACTTCTGTTTGTTCAAGCCATCCCATTTGTGGTATATTCTTGTCAGAGCGGCACTAGTAACCAGAACACATGGGTTCATGTCATTCTGACTAGAGCATTTGTTCTTTGAGGGCAGGGACCGTGCGTTCTTTAGATCCCCTCTGCCACCTGAGCCCTGGGGCTCGGCGCACAGCTGGACACTGACCCAGTGAGGCAGGTGACTGGACATTCCTTACCTTCCAGTTGAGGCAAGTCGTGCTGTTAGCTGGAAGGAGGAGTGACTGAGAAAATGTTCTCTGGCCGAGTTGTCCCTCATCTGCTGGTGAGGAGACTGTGCCACCACTGAGTGCCAGGTCCTGTCTCCTTTACCCTTGCTCTCTGTGAGCCCTCCTCCTGACTCTTCTTGTCTCCCCACCACAGGTCCTGTGGGCTCCCGATGGAGGGATTACGGTGCCTTGGCCATCATCATGGCAGGAATTGCATTTGGCTTTCACCAGCTCTATAAGGTAAGCCTTCTCAGTGGCCCGCATGCTGAGCCCCCTGCTGCCCTGGCATTCATCCTTAGGTTTATCTGTGGTGGAGGCGCTGCTTGCAGAGTAAACGCCAAAGAATGAGGCTATATGTAGGGGTGCAGACTCTGGAGGGAGCTCCTTGGGCTCAAGTCCTGGGCCTGCTGCCACCCAACTGGGGAAGTGGCAAGTTCGACTGGTCTCATCCACTGTACCCCTCACTCTGTAGCCAGTCTCTGCTGCCCAGGGTGACTGTGAGAGCCACCATTCGATCCCCCTTGTCAGATGCTTAGAATAGCGCTGGGCACTTAGTTCACATAGTGGTTAAGAGTGTGGACACTGGGAGCCCCCTGCCTGCATTGAACCTGGCTCTGCCACTTAGTAGCTGTGAGCGCAGGGGATCACTGCCCTGCTCTGTGGCTCAGTGTCCTCCTCAGTAAAATGGAAGGATTGTCGTGAAGAGCAAGGTGCGTGGGGAGTCTCAGAGCCTGGCCTGGCCCACAGGAAGCACTCTGTATAGGCTGGCTGTTTTCTGCCTAAATAGTCAAAACCAGCAGTGAGAGTCTCTCAGTAATTGGAACAAACTCAGGCTTAAGGGATCTAGTTTTTGACACTTATATTGGTTCCCATGTAAGTGTAGAATTTTCCCTAAGTTCCTAAGTCAACTCCCAGGCTCCCAGAGTTCATTGCTTACAACAGACCTGCAGGCATGAGGTGCACATGTACTCCCCTGGGTCCCATGTAAAGGCCCAGCTCTGGTCTGAAGCAGCTGAGTCTTTTCCAGGAGATGTAGAGCCAGGGCAGGTCACAGAGACCCAGGGAAGAACAGTGCCCAGAGACACCACGCTCTACTGATCTCAGAGAGAAGCCCTCTTTCCTTCTGAGGCTGCCAGCCCACCCCATCCCCCTTAGTTGGAGATTATTTTTAAAGACCCTGAACCAATACCCAGACTCACTGCTGTAAATTTTGGCACATGAAACACATTGAAACATCACACTCTGGGATTCTTAATTCTTAACCTCGTGCAAAAGCTAACAATGGTGTTATAACAGAATATGCTTTTTCCAGTGTAACATTTATTTCTGAAGTTGGAAATTTCCATGTCAGAAATTAAGAAGCACAATATCCCAGGTCAGGGGGCTTCTCCCTCTGAGCTGATGCCTGCCTTACCTCGTGTGTATAAAGTCTCTTTCAAATCACTTACCGCAGACAATCACCAAGAAGGTTAAATGCAAACTCGGAATTCCCAAACCAGTGTCTCTGGTCTGAGACTCACTCAATTCTCAGATGCACCTACTGTCACATGGCTGCCCTCATACTGCTGTGATCTCGTGGAGGCAGGAAGGCAGCTGCCCTTGGTGTGGATGGCAGAGCGGACGCATCATCTGTGGCTTCTGAGAGCTCTGATCTTTCCTTTCCACTTACAGACATGGAAAGATGAGTGCACTGGTGACCAGAGAATCTCTAGAACATCTGCTAATAGTTTGTTTAAAATAAAAAGAAGTAGTCAGAAGCCATCATCTTGTTTTATAGATAAGCAAAGATTAGGCTGAGGCAGTGGGGTAGTAGGGCAGTGACTTTTATACTTAGGAAATTTTCAATCCGAAATGTAAGCCTACATCTGATGTGTTTCAGCTCAGTGGTGGGTAATAACTCATGCCGTGGTTGAAAAGCACTTTGCAAAATAGAAAATGCTTCTCTACATATGCTATAATGCTCTTCACTTAGGAGTCACTCTTGAAATGAGTTCTCCCACAAACCCCTTGTGAGAGACCTTTTCCTTCCCCAGTACAGAAATCTTAGTGGGGAAGTTGCTGTCTTTTTTCCTATCAGGGGCCTAAATGTAGTAAGAACCAGAGCTGTCCCTTAGCCACACCTGAGGGGCCTGCACTGCGCTTACTCTAGCACCATCCTGCTCCTAGCGACTGGTCTCATCTCCTCCAAGGTGGAGGCTTGTCTCCACAGCCTGGGCTTTTGGATCCAGAGCACACGTTCTTGTCACCTGGTCCCCCACCTGCCAGCCCATAAACCCCTCACCCATACACCCCTCACCTCTTAAGTCAGAGAACCAGTTACCAGTTTTGCCTCCCCACCTGCCTTCTTCCCCAATGTTCTAAGAGCCTGGTCCTCCCCTGTCTGGGCCCCAAGTATAACTCTCTTGCTTGGTTGTCCTGCAGTGTCACCTTTTTTCTCATCATGTCCAGTTTGTTCTCATCCTGTGCCCCCTGTCCCCTGGCCCTGGGTCCAGCTCTGGGGGAATTGGCCTACTTCTGACTCTTGAGAGTTCAAGGCTCAGTTTAGAAAAAGACTGCAGCAGCAGACTCTTTGGACAGCCTCAGGCTACCCAGATACTAAGACTAGTGAAAGAACCAGGAATCCCCGGGTGGTGTGAGCAGTCGCCATACTTGACTGCTAACTGGAAGGTTGCAGGGTTGAGTCCACCCACGGGCCCCTCAGAAGAAAGGCCTGGCCGTCTGTTTCTGAAAAAACCAGCCACTGAAAACCTCGTGGGGCACAGTTCCTCTGACATACACGGGGTGCTGTTGGTCATACCCGCTCGACAGCAGCTGGTTTCTGGAGAAGAACCAAGTCTCCTGAAATCTGTTGGTTTTCTTGTAGTTTCTCTTGTAATATTTGTTGTTTAATTTTACTCATTTATTTCTGAACGGTTCAAACTGTTAAAGATTCAAAAGAGTATAAAGTTGATAACATTCCTTCCAAGAATTTCTTGTGTGTATTTCCATGTTTTTATCTTCAACTTTTAAAGTAAAATGTGTTTCATCATTAAGAAAACTAAATAAAAGAACCCAAAAGTTCTCCATCCCACTGGCCCCCATTGACTGTCTGCCCACATTCTCTCCTGGTCCAGGTCCTTACCCAGGCTCAGTGTTCACACAGTTATGACTGCTGTCTCTTAACTTCTTCACGTGTCTTGTTCATTTACTTTGAGTTCACTTTGAGTTTTCGAACCTGGGGATGACAGAGAAAGCCTGTGAGTGACTGTGGAAGTGTGGCCCCAAGTGCGGACCCCTTCCTTCCACCATCCCACTTCTTGCAGAAATACCTGCTCCCCCTCATTGTTGGCGGCAGAGAGGACAGGAAGCAACTGGAGCGGATGGAGGCGAGCCTCTCGGAGCTGAGTGGCAGTGTGGCCCAGACAGGTAAAGATTAATGACTCCATCAAGTCACCCCTCAGAGCTTCCCGAGCAGCCCCTCCACCACCCCTCCCTGTGCCCCTCGTCTCCACTTTCTGTGGTGACTTCATTTATCTGCTCTGAGAATCTGTTCACATTTGCAAATGAAGCCGCCGTCATTTCGGTTTAATTTGAAATTGCTTGTTTACTGTCGGCGCGGCCTCAATTAATTATGTTTTTACGGAAAGGCTCCCAACCTCAGAATATTAATAAGGGGAATAAAATGACAGCCTTTCTAAGGGCTGTAAAGTTCATTTTTAATTTCTGCTTCTATGAGGTTTTCAGGGGGGTTTTTCAGTGATTTTTTTCCCCCTTCCCTCTAAGAATCCAAAGCAGGGTCAAGAGAGTCTGTAATTACTGCGGCTCCCGTGACCCCAGCCACCTCCTCTGTTATCGACTCCACAGGGCTCGCGTTCATTACCCGGTGCCCCGATGATGGCCCAGATTAGCCAGGACCTGTCGCGCCAGGAGGGCTTTTCTCCTTTATAAACTTGTTTACTAGGTAGAGGCTCGGAATTTAAAAATCTGAGACAAGCAGAAGAGCCACTGTCCCAGGCTGGTGACTATGCCCCCTGGGGCACGACTGGGAAGCCCTTGGTATCCCCTGGTGCATCCGCTGAGCCCTGACGCCCAGACGAGATCACGTGACACGAGTGCACCCACAGCCCCGGTCTGAGTGCTCACGCAGGAAGGAGCGGGCGGGGAGGGGCCTGCAGTTTTTACCACTCACCCCTAGATGTGACGGGGACCTGAGATGTGTCTCCCCAGGACTGGAGACTTCCCTAAGTTGCACAAGGACACCAGGAGGCCCACGAGATGAGTGATACAGACATTGTAGAAGTTGGACAAGCCAAGAAAATCATAGCCAGATATAATTAGAGGGGAGAGGTTTTGGACAGATATACTGTTGACCATGGACAACCACACAATAGAAAGATAAAGTAGAAAACTAGAGAGGTTAGATACAGTGCAGGTAGATTACTTGGAGTGCAGATAAATTATATGGCTGGAGCAGGGGGGTCTGCAGATAAATTAGATGTAGCAGGAATACGGGCAGTTCGTAGGTACTTGGACAGAGAGAAGGAAAACCTGTGTGTATCCATTTAACAGATACGTGACTGTTCTCTCCCTCCTAGTGACACAGGTACAGACGACTTTAGCCTCTGTCCAGGAGCTGCTCATCCAGCAACAGCAGAAAGTCCAGGAGCTCGCCCAGGAGCTTGCTGCCGCCAAGGTACTCATCTCTGCCCTCAGGGCAGGCTCCTCTAGGCCCAGGGCTGTCCTGCAGGCTCTCACCTTGTCCTCTGTGCCTGGCTCCCGGCTTTCCCTGGGGTCTGACTATATCAGGTGCTTTCCCACACTGGTTGTCCAGCAGGGCCAGCACTGCCCTTGGAGAAAAGGCAGCGGCATAGGCAAGTGGGTGTGAACGTTTGAACTGTCTTTTCTCCACTTCACCTACCATTGTCAGGGAAGATCAGCCTCTCTACTGTGGCCTCTCACAGTAGCTGCCTTCATTCCTGAAGCACCAAGGTGGTCAGTCACATGTGGACATGGGGTGGCCATCACCTGCACAACAGGCCTCAGAACTGCCCAGAAAAATTCCAGAGAAGAGGGAGAGGAACTGTGGCCATAGATAATAGTGGCCGTGGCCCCAGCCCCATCCATCGCTGGGCCCAACACTGCCGCAGTGGGCAGGTCCTCAAGACCTAGGCTTCCTGGAGTCAGGTGTGCAGCCAACTGCCACCAGCAGAGGCCATCTCCATGGCTCCCTTTCCAAGTCTGGAGCAGTCTTGGCAAGATCTTCCCCTCAGAGTCTCAGGTCACACTGTCTGTGTGAAAAAACTGGCTCTGGCACTTGGTGATCTATGTGATTGTAGGCAAATTATGTAACCTCTCTGAGTCTTAGTTTCCTCATGTAAAATGGGGCTATTATGGTACCTACCTCACTGGGTTGTTCACATGCTTAGAACAGTGCCTCACTTCAGTCAGCTTCCTCGATTGCAGGCCTCTGGCCCTGAGTTCTGTGGGTGGACAGGACTCACTCTTGGGGGAGCTGGTACCTTCTGGGACCTGAAGGTAGCCTAAGGTGGTGCCAGTCACAATGATTGCAAAAACTTTCTTTCTTGTACTGTGTGCTTCTTGAAGGCCCATGTTGTATCTTCTTCTCTGGCCATCTTTGTCCCCTGACCCAGGCCCTGCGCCCTGTAGACTACAGGCAGCAGCACCCAAGAGACCCCAGGATGCTCTACCGTCCCCACCCCCTTCTCTCGTACCCCCACAGTTGGCAGGTGTGGCTTTTCAGCTGTTTCCACACAGCCTGTGCCATGACGGCTGTCACTCAGAGTTGCTTTCCGGGGGACTTGTCTCCCCAGTGTACCTAGATTTGAGCCCATACGCAGATCTTTCAGATTTGTGAAAACCAAGGAAAGCCGCAACCGTTTCATTTCTGGTGGAATCTGGGGTACCTCCTGAGGAGGAGAGTCCTGAGCACCCCACCTGGATACCCTACTTCCCCATCCTGCACATCTTCACACCTGCCCTTCATCCCGGGACAGCTATGGCCACAGTGGCCACCCCAGCACAGCTCGTTCCCTGGCGGCCGAGCCAGAACGCAGCTGGGAGGTAGTTTATGGCCCCGGCCTGGCTCCTCTACTATCTTTTGGACTGGTGGCCTGCCAGTGGCCAGAAGCCATTCCGGAAATTGGAAAGCTGTTTTCAGGCCTGAAACATTAAGATGAAGGCCACATGTGCTCTCAGGAGGAGACCGTGGAGTGTGCTGGTGGCTTAGGGAGGCCTGTGAGACGCTCTGCTGCCGGTTTCGGTGGTTCTCCCTGCCCGCTTTGGCCCCTCATTTTCTTTTGTCCTGAAGCAGACTCATAGGTGCCTGGACCCCGTATGTGTGAAGACTTTGGTTACCCCAGAAACTGGAGAGTCAGAGCTGGGTTTTCTCAGCTGTGATGTAAGTTTTCATATCTGGCTCCCAAACTCCTACTGGAACACTGAAAAAAATTAAAAAGAAGAGCTTTAAGTAATTAAAAAACCTACATAAAACTGAAGGCTCTGAGTTTTCTACAACTGCTTTTTAAAGAGACTGGCTAAAAAGCCCCAGATGTCAGATTTTATTTCTAAATCTCAGGCATCTGGCACCATATGCGTTTGGAAATCTGAGTCCTTTGTGGGCCAGTGAGTGGAAATTGCTCCCTTGTTAATGGGCTGCTGTAGCTTTCAAGGACTTGCGGCGGCCAGAACAGTGGCTCCTGGATCCTCACTGTCTGGGGGTCTAGAGTGGGGGCCCCTGGAGGTGTGGGCAAGGGTGGCAGGTGGGTGTACTTCTTTGAGCTGGGTTCTTCCTGCAAGGATGAGCCCAGCCTGATACTTGTGGGGTTTGGGGTCCCCAGCTGTTCCAGCAGCCCCTGCCAAGGCCAGGCTCTTGGTGGCCCACAGACCTGCAGCAGACTGGCAGGAAGCATCCAGGGACCCCCCTCCCACCCTGTGGGCTCCTCACATTCTCATGAACTTGTGACTTGAATTTTCGTGTCTGGCTGGGGCAGCAGTTGTAGGGAACCGAGAACCCTGAGAGATGAATTGTTGCCCTGAGACAACTCCAGACAGACTCCAGCCTGGGTGAACGGGCACACGTCTGTGGCCATTCCATGTGGGCCTTCATGGATACCTCATGGGCAGCCTGGCCACTCGGAACTCCTGGTGGCGTTCTACTGTTGTGGGCTATTTTCTTTTCCATCTATCTGGGCAAGACTTGCCCAAAGAAAGGTGTGGTTCTCTGACTTCTCTATGGAAAACAAGGGCAAATTCAAAAGAGAAAGGAGTGCATCAAAGGGTGGCCATGATCAGATTACTGTGGCCCCGTCTCCTTTCCATGGGCCCTCTCCAGAGAGAGTTAAAGCTTGTCCTTCTGGTGGGACAGCTGCTTCCTTTCTGCTGCTGAGTCCCAGGGCTGTCCAGGGGACAGGGTGGTACGTGCAGACAGTGAGGCGGATCTCGGCACCCTGCCCCCTGAGGAGTAGGGCTGGAGGCCTGGGAGCCCTGAGGGAAAGCACCTTGTGTGATGAAGGGTGGCTGTCCAGCCCCCTCCAGGTTAGCGCTGGGGAGGCGGCAGGTGAGCTGGCTCAGATGTGTTGGTCCCCCTGCCACGCCCAGGTGGCTTCCAGGTGCCAGATTGGGTGCCAAGGATGTTGGGGCACCGTCTCTTCTCAGCCCTGAAGTTTGTTTCTGCTTATGGTGGTGAAGTTTTTCTTTTGGATACCAAAGGTTTGAGTGAAAAGTGTAACTGGTATTCTGTTGCTGCTGTTGTGGGGGAACACTGAGTTGATTTTTGACTCATAGCGACCCCATGTGACAGAATAGAGCAACCTTCGAGGGTTTCCTAGGTTGTAACCTTGATGGGAGCAGATGGCCAGGTCCTTCTCCTGGGGAGCCGTGGGGTGGGTTTGAGCTGCCGGCCTTTCAGTTTGCAGCTGAGTGCTTGACCACCAAACCACCAGGCTTCCTTGGAATTGGTGTATAGATGTATCTGTTTTGTTTTTTGTAATGGAACATTTCACATACACAGAGAACGGGGAGAATACTGTAACAATCCCACGTGTTGGCATCCTGTCACTCCAGCAGCACCCTGCTCACACACACCCCTCCCACCCTCACCTCAGATTGTTTTGAAGGAAATCCCGGCACCACATCATTCTGTCCTGATCCTTCGGCATGCAGCCCTGAAAGATAAGGGCTCTTGAGTGATGGTTTTGTTTTATCACAAAGCCATCATTATGCCTTAAAAAAAAAAATTGAATGATTCCTTAATATTGTCAAATATTAAGGACATTTGTTTCAAGGGTATTGCTATTTAAACGGGGGCAGGTGGGTGGGCGGCCCCCTGGCTGGGCGGCGGCAGGCCTTCTCCAGGCCACAGACAGCCCAGGTGCTGCTGCTCGGGTCAACGCCTCAAGAGGCCTTGCAGGGCTGCGAGCAGGCTCTGACATGTGGTCTCCTGTGTTGTGACTCTCAGGCCACCACATCGACCAACTGGATCCTGGAGTCCCAGAACATCAGTGAACTCAAGTCAGAAATCAACTCCTTGAAGGGCCTTCTTTTAAATCGGTACGGAGAGGGGAAGGCATGGGTTCTGTTCTGGTCCCTGCCTGGGATGGGGTGTGGAGGTCCCTGGGCTGGTCCAGCGGCCATGGCAGGAGTGCACCTTCCTGTAGGGGCCACTGTCAGCCCGCCCATGACAAGCTGGTCAGTCAGGCATTGTGTGTGGGATCCCAGAACTTCCACCTCCCCTCCTCGCAGGCCCGCTACCCGTTCAGGAGTGACCATCTGAAGCACCCACAAGCACCCTGAAATGCACACAGTTCCTCAGGCCTGGTCATGAGGGGTCAAGGATAGCTTAGCCATCAAGCTGGGCCTGGTGGCCCGTTTTTTTAGGATGGGGGTTCAGTCAGGGCTACTGCCTCCTTCCCAAGCCCCCAGCTGGACTTCCCAGTGACAACCTGGTCCCAGAAAACATCCCTGTAGAGGGCTTGGGGTCTTCGTGCCAGGCAGGGTTCTAGGATTCAGGCATAGGCAGAACTAGCTCCTGCTCTTCCCCCTGCCCCTCAAAAAAGCTTCTCCACTGTCCCTCTGCTTTGACGACACTTTCCTGCACCATTAACTGGGGAGGCTGTTGTTGCCGCACAGCCCTGAGTGCAGCCTGACCAACTCATCCTGGATTTAAAACGGAACACCCTGTGTCTCGGGACCAGGGTACCAGTCACCTGACTGGCTGGCACTGCAAGGTGGCCTTGCTCGGGTGCTCACCTCTCTGCTGGGCTGGGGTTTGGTGAGAAATGTGTGACTGTATGAAGGTGCCCAGGATGGGGAGGGGCCTTATGGCCCCAACTAGAGGACCCCATTTCCCTGAAGAAAAGACCTGAGGCTGCAGTGAGGTGTGACTGAGCTGGGGAAGGGGTCTGAAGCTTGGAGATTAGGGCCTTTGTGGGCAGAGACAGAGAGCAGCCTGGGCCATGTCTGAGCCAGGGGATGCTGACACTGGCTTCCTGGTGAATGTCACAGGATCGACAGGCCTCAAGGGGAAGAGCTGTTCCTGGATTAGTGGGGGACGGGGAGTATGCAGGCAGGGCCCCCCTGCTGCAGAGCTTGCTGTCCAAGCCGTAGCCGGCAGACCTGCCTCTCGGGCCCTTCCTGAAACTGCCTCTGGTTTGGGCTGGGTGCTGGCCCAAGACTAGGGTGGGGACACAGGAGCCAATGGAAAAGCTGGCTTCTCCCTAGGGAAAGGGTGAGGGCCAAGGTTTCTACAGGGTGCATGACAGTGCCCTCTGGCTCTGATGTCGCTGACCCTGCAGCCAGTGCCCAGCCCCCCACCCCCTCTTCTCATCCCATAGACAGGTTGGGGTTGAGGAGGAGGAGGGTTGGATACCCAGTCTTAGCCTTGTCTGCTTCCTGCCTGCTCCTTCTCTCTGGCCCTGGGTAGAGGCTGAGGACAGGCTGTGGACCAGGAAGGAGCAGGTTCCAGGAAGTGACAGGCCCTCAGGTCACATGGTCCAGCAGTGGCCAAAGAAGGCGAACCTCACATGGGACAAGTAGAGACACCCCAAGTGGAGCAGGGTGCTCTGTGGGCAGCTCAGTGTCCCTCTGGCCACCCGGAAGCCTTCATTTATGACAGAAGGGGTCTTGCCCCAGCATTCGTGCCCCTGCTATATGGTGCTAGGGGGCTGCGCCCCATTGCTGGGGTCTCTGCCCTGCTGTGTCCTGAGGGTGGGAACCTAGTAGGCTCTGTCACCCACCTTTGCTTTTCCTCCTGCTTTCCCCACCAGGAGGCAGTTCCCGCCCTCGCCGTCTGCACCCAAGATCCCCTCCTGGCAGATCCCAGTGAAGTCGCCATCCCCATCCAGTCCTGCAGCGGTGAACCACCATAGCAGCAGTGACATCTCACCAGTCAGCAACGAGTCCACATCGTCCTCACCCGTGAAGGAGGGCCACAGCCCTGAGGGCTCCACGTACCACCTGTTGGGCCCCACTGAGGAGGGCACAGGGGGGCTGGGTGTCAAGGGCCAGGTGCGGATGGAGGTGCAGGGTGAGGAGGAGAAGCGGGAGGAAGAGGAGGATGAGGAGGACGATGACGTGAGCCGTGCAGGCGAGGAGGACTGCCTGGGGGTGCAGCGGGAGGACCGCCGGGGTGGCGATGGGCAGATCAATGAGCAGGTGGATAAACTGCGGAGGCCCGAGGGTGCCAGCAACGAGCACGAGCGGGACTAGGTGCCGCGCCCACTGCCACAGCCCGCTCTGTGGGACTGGCATGCTGGCCTCCGGCCCTGGGAGGCCGCCCTGAGCCCTGGGAGGCAGAGCTGTCCTCGCCCCAGGGAGAGGCCCTCACTGCAGCCCCGGTGGCAGGCAGCAGGAGGGCTGGGCTCACCTGGCCGCTGCGTGTGATCACATTTCTGCCTCCCTTCCCACCCTCCTCTCACCCCAAAGCCCAGCCCAGTCCTCCGTGGCTCAACCCAGCCTTGGACCTTGTCCTCATAACAAGCTGGAGGGCCAGAAGCCTCTGTGCTCAGTTCCTGGCCCAGCCCCTCTCCCGGAGCAGACCGGCGTCTGTCCAGGGTCTGTTTGCTGAGTGTTTCCATCTTAACACCACGCATGACAAGAGCCAGTTGTATTACCTGACTCCTGACTCCTTGGTGGAGAAAGAAGTGCAGTTGATCTGTGTCTGCTGCTCCTTCCCTCCCTTGGACCCCTTTCCCTCAAGCGCCTGGTGCCTCTGGGCTCCTCTCCTTTTGGGCCATGGGCCTGGTAGGCTGTCATGTCCCACTCCAGAAAATGAGGGTCTGCTTGGGCATAGCCTCTGGGACTGCTTGGGGCAGCCACTGTCTCCACAGCCAGCCCCTGACCAACTGATGCACCCCAGTGTGCCCCTGCTTACCCCACTCCCCACCATGCCCTATCGTCCTCCTGGGAAATGAAATCACACTGCATTCTGACCACCCTTGCTTGCTGCATCGTGGCCTCAGCTGATCGATCACATGGTGAGACGTGACCGTCACGCCCCACACAGGAGCCAGGCATCAGGGCCTTCCTGACAAACAGCTATGTCTGTTTTCCCACCGGAAACATGTTCATTTGTGTGATCATGTATAGATGCAAAATATAAGATATGACTGTATATAATTGTAATAAATACAAGTTGGCACTATTTAACCCCTGGCTTTGGCTTCTTACCTCTGCTCACGCACCAGCCCCCAGAGGTGGGTCTTGACTGAGGTCTTCCCCGAGGCCACCCTAGGGAGGGGCCCGGAGGGGGGTGCTGGACTGTCCCCGCCTTCGGGCCTGCCGCTCCTGCCTCAGCCTCCCTGCCCCACTCCTTTCGTGCCAGGTCTCACTGCCTCCTCACCAAAACTGCGGGGTCCTGGGCTCTGAGTCTGGGGTTTCTGCTGCAGGGCGACATTTCTGATCGCAGGAGGAAAAGGGACCTCATATTACTGTATATAGACCTGCTGTGGAGTGTGATGAGTTCTCATGCCTTAAATGGATGAATGTTTTCCCCAGGAGAGCGTGTGTCTCTTTCTTTCTTCCTCCTCCCTGTCTCTTCTAGTGCCCTCCCCATCTCCCTGTAACCTTCACAGAGCAGGAAGCTCCTCCCAAGGAGCACTCTGCTCCCTCCAGCCCCGAGTGGTGTGACCAGGTGGGGACAAGGACGTGGTTATGTCCGTCTGCCTGGTGTATACACCCAGCTCGAAAAGGACAAGTGCCAGATAGCGGCCACCACGGAGGGTGGAGAGCATGCAGCGTGGTAGGTACCCCTCCAGCGGCTAGCAGGCCTCCTGGCCATTGTGTCATCTTGTCCAGCTCCTACCACCCAACAGCCCTGGGAGGGCAGGACAGACAGGGCAAGGGAGTGTCTTGGCATTGGGGCTGTTTTTCTCAGAAAACATGCTACCTTCTGCTTAAGTCCCTTTTTAGCGTTCTGGGCCCGATTATCTGCAGCAAGCTCATGCCTGGCTCTCAGGCCCGAGGGAGCTACCAAGGGGTCACGTCACATAACCCCTTGCATGTCAAGCCCCCTGGCCTGGTGTCTGGTCCTCGGGTTATGTCTTTGATGCTCCTAACCTCACGTGACATTCTCTAGTCTTGTCTCCCCCCTCATGCGCCTGAGGGACCAGGAGGGCCAGAGTGAAAGTCACTGCAGCTTGTCCTCAAAATTCCTGAAGCAGCTGGAGCAAGGCCTGCTCTCCCAGGCCCCTGAGGAGTCCCTGTACCCTCAGAGCCAGGAGGCGAGTCTGCAGCATCGGCACAGTGCACAGCCAGGTCCCAGGCTTGGGGCTTGTGACGGCTTCCCTGGCCTCTGGCCTCTGTGCTGCAGACATGCCCAGCCCTGAGCAGCAGATGACTGGGGAGTCACCTCTTTAGTGACTGTTTGCTGTCATCTAATGTTTCAGAGCACCCTTCCCCAGTGGACCAGGGAAGGGAGCCCAGAGGGTGACGCCGGGGTTGCTGAGGCTGGAGTGCCCCTGTACCTGGAGCCAGGGCCACCAAGAGAGGAGTCCCTGGGGTGGGGGCATCACCGGCAGTTTTCCCCAACCTGGGGGGTCCAGAGACTCCTTGGTACCTGGGACTCAAGGGCAGGGGGAGGGGGAAGGGATAAACCTTTTGCCCCCATGGGTCTTGAGCACCAAATGCAGCTTTTGAGGACAGAGTGTTTGGCGTGATTTCAGGGAGAGGAAAACCCCTCCCCAAAAGAGTGGAGCGCTGCCTAATAAAGGCACTAAGGGACAGAGGGAAAACAGCCCTTTGGAAAAAAAAAAAGTCTTTCATTAGAAAAATAATGCATTTCATCCAAATAAGGTAAAAATATTTGGAAAGGGGCAGAAGTGAGCAGCAGGCAGCGCCTGTCAGGCCCTTTCTGGAAAGGAGAAGGTTATTAAACTCAATTACGATGTATTTTTGTGAAGTGTCTTTAGGAAGACATCGGCCAAGCACTCTGGAGGCTGTGGGGCACGCTCCCGGCCTTCGCCTGCCCGACCCTCTGCCCACGCGGCCTAACGGCCTCTCCCAGCTGTCGCCTTCTCCGGGCTTCTGCCCTTTGGGCGGGAAGAAGGGCCCTCACTTGGCCAGCCCAGCATGGTCACCACGGAGCCCAGGGAGCAGGCCGGGTGGCCAAGGCCCACCCTAGGGTGCTGTGAGGACTGTGGCAGCCTGAGTACCCCTTGGTTTGTGCAGCCTGTGTCCTGGGACCCTTCTGTGGGAAAAAGATAGCATTCTGGGTCGTAGAAGAGGTGGTTGGTCTGAGTTTGTACCTCCCCCTGCAAATTGTTTTTTATTATTGTGGGAGAAGTACATACCAGATGTTTAAAGAGCCCATTGATACAAAGGGGAATAAAGAGTGGCAATCTCCCTTCCACCACCTGACTCGGACGTTTTCACGTGTGCGCTCATAGACCTGCAAACATGGTCTCTCTCCCTCTCTCTCTCTGTCTCTCTGTCTCTCTCTCTCTCTGTTTTTAAATAAAATTGGACATTCCTCTTCATGATGTTCCTCCACTTGGTCCTCACAGTCAACAGTGAATCATGTTTGTCTTTCGGGACCCTCACCCTCTGGTGAGTGTGGACAAGCTCTCTCGAAAGCTCCCCTCCCGGCCACCCCACCGCTCTAAGGCACACCGTGGTTCTGGTCACCAGCCTGGCTCAGGTCCCCCTCTGCTCTGGGGGATCGTCCCGCCATGGGCCGATGGCACCCGGAGCCACAGGGGAACGGGAGGTGGGGCAGGAGACGTCTCTGTCAGGCTGGACAGCCTCATCGCCAGGAGTTTACTCAACGCTTAGTGTTTCTTCATGTTTGTTTAAGTGTTTCTGTCAAGGCCTCCGGAGAAGGGGAGAGGGTCGGAGGCTCCAGACGGCAGGCAGCTAAGGCAGCCAGCGGTACGCACAGACAAGGTGCTCACTGGCGTGAGCAGGCCTTGACTCCTGCACTTCCTGCCCCTTGCCTGGAGAGGTATTTCTTCCCAGGGATCAGCCATGATGGCCTGGCGACCTGGCCAAAGGAGGCAGTTTGGCTGCCACCCTCCAGGGCCATGTTGACATGTTACCCACCGCCTTTGAGCCAGCATATGTGCTGACACTCAGGCATACACTTGCCCTCATGCTTGCACAAGGGGAAGCTGGCATTGAGCACTGAGTGGGCAGGCCTCTGGGGTCCCTTTGACCACACTGGGACAGCCAGGCCCAGCTCCACAGCTCCACAGCTCTCAGCGCCCACTCTCCATTTCTCTTTTACGCAAAATGAGTTTAAGATGGAGTCCCGAGCTGTCAGATAACTGTCACTTGGATCATGAACAAATCTTACTAGTTTACTTTTCATCAAGCACTTTAAAGTTCCTGTTCTTTCAGAAAAGTAGATGAAATTCCTTTTGAATTTCATAAGGATAATGCCCAAAGCCTTTCCTTGCCCTGTGGTGGGTCCTAGAAGGACACTTACATGCACCTTGGAAGCTCAGGTGCTTGCCCTCCTCACCCCACTGGTCAGCCCTGGAGAATTGATTCCAGGGCATTCTGGTTCCAGGGTTGTGACAGGGTGTGGCTGCCAGGCCCCAGGGTGGCTTGGGGCAAGGCCAAGGGCTGGAGGGGTGGGCTGGATGGGGGTCGGGGCCTCTGGAAACTCTCAGGTGGGGCTGAGGCCTCCACACTTTCCGTGGCCACCTTGTCATTGTGATGTGGGGTTTGCAGGCAGCCTAGCAGCTGCTCCAGCTGCCCTTTGCCCCTCTGCGCTGACCATGGGCTCTCAGCGAGGGTAGCAAAGGCCTGTTCATACCTCAGGATTGAAGCCTGTTTGAAGGGTCTGCTGACATCCTGCTGCCTGGAGGCCTGACTTGAGGCTGGGGGCTTTGGGGTAGCTGTCCTCCCTCCCCCATCTTCACCCTGTGCCAAGGCTACTCGGGGCAGGGCCACCTCTCATGACATCGGGTGGACACCTGCCTTTGCCCTGTGGCCTATGTATAATGCCCTGAAAGGGGTCCATCCTGTTGCTGTGGGTCCAGGAGGCCTGGAGGCAAGGCCACTCTGGAGCCCCAAGCCAGGCTCCTCCAGGTGACTCAGGCTCCAGGTCTGTGGGAGGTGGGCAGCCACTGTGTTCAGCCCTGAGCCTGTGCAGCTGGTTCTGGCTCTTTCAAGAGGTTACAAAACTCTTGAGTTTGCCCCAGTTTGGGTGTAGAAGCATCACACCACACAGCTAATTAGATGCTAGAATGAAAACATGTTTTACTGCACTTCTACCAAGCCCAGCAGAGCATGGGGAGTGTCATGGGGCT